ACGAGCACAGGCCCCTTCCTTTCCCCCAGCCAGGAGCCGCTTCAGAACCGCTGTGCGGGGGAGCCCACGCAACCCCGAAACTCAGGCGTGAACGTTTTGGGGGAGCACAGACAAAAACTATCATTGCTCAGCTGGCCCAGGTCCTTACAATGGGCGGCATCAACCCACCAGGACAGGGAGACGGCGTTCCCAAAGCAGCTTAAAATAAAGCGCACAAATATCTTTGCGGCATGCCTCAGGTTTGAACAAGCTCTTACTTAACCGGCCTGATTTCACCATGGCTGCGGGCAACAAGAAATCCGTCCGTACGTGCAGCAGGGCTCCGAGGAGCCCGGGTCCGCTCCGCGCCCGATGGCCCCAGCAGGAGCGGCAGACCATGCCCTGCTTGCAGGCGTCCGCAGCGCTCTGCCATAAGCAAAACGCCCTTCCCCTCGCGCACAAGCTCCGATGCTTTCCTGCAGGTGGAAGTGGCTGCGGTTTAGAAAACTTCCAACTCTCACTGTCACTGCAGAGAAAAACCAGCAGAGCCAGAAATTCCTAACGCAGCAGCAGGCAGCAGCGCTTCCTGGTCTGGTCAGCAAACACCAAGCAATGCCCACGCGTTTTTGGCGGAACGAGGAAGAGCCCCTATAATGCCATCACAAGGGGACTTTGCTGGCAGATCTTCAGTGCAGAAAAATGGATCTCACCCCGTAAAGGCCATTTGTAAACAGTGTTTTGCAAAGGGTTTTTTTTTTTTTCTAGTGAGAAGTGCCCAGGGGCAGTCAGAGCTTCAGGAGAACACGGTGAGCAAGGCCCGCCGACACGGCACCAAGCGTTACGAGACGAAGGCAAAACCAGGAAGGGAGGGCCGGCTGGTTTTGCAGAGGACGCGCGAAGGGAGAACGCGATCTGTTACAATCACAGCCCTACAGAGAAAGCCTGTTCTTCTCTCCAGCAACCCCCGAAATCATAACCTGCCTGCGCGTACCGCAAGCGTGAATACGCGCCGTGTCCTGCGCCATCCTCAGTCGAGCTGCCACACCGCACGCCTGCTTCAACGTTGCACACGGAAGGGGAAAATGCAGCACAGCAAAGCTGTGAGAGAACAGAACGGCAAAAATAAAACCAGATGTCAAGATCTCAGCTGCTAGCGGAGTTCTGCAGAACGAGCCAGCACCAAGGCTGGCAGACAGCGTTTCTCTGCACGTGGTCCATGAGCGGAGTTACCAGGAACAGAGGCGGCAGGCGCAGCACTACCAGGGAACGACACACCCAGGCGGTTCATCCGTGCAGCAACCCCCGACAACTCACCTCCGTGAGGAGACGACACGTGTGCGTGTGCATTTCTTGGAGTCCACCTGAAGGATTGTCAGTAACGTGTTCAACAAAGCTCTCCGCTGCCACGGACTCTAGCCCCTATTTTAGGCAATCAGACCAGGAATAGTGAGAGACCTTTCAGTCCGCGGTCCCACCCGACCGAAGCAGCAGTCGGAGGAGCAGCAGTTTGGGGCAGGGAAAAAAGCAAAAAGAAGCAACTGCAATTTTTTTTTTTTTATTAGCAAATGGACAGTATCTGGACATCTAGAGGAAATCAGCCCTTTCCAACACTAACTCCAATGTCCTTGTCAAGTACTTGCACCACTCCCACGCCTCAGTCTTTGTCTTTCCTACAGCCAGGACCTTTGGGTAAACAAAGAGCACAGAAACACAAAAAAATGCAACATATACAGGCTTCCCACCAGCTAACTGGACTGAGATTTTTGGAGATTAGCGACGCTTTGTTCATTTGACTTTGCAAGTAATATCAAAACATCTCAAGTTTTAAAATAAAAAAATACTACAATATTCACATATAATACTTAAATACATTTGTTTGGAAATAAAAGGACTGCTAATAGCTATTGATTTATCTCAGCTGTCTCTCTCAACAGGAGCTCTGCTGCTGAAGCACTGAGAATTTAAGGTTCACAAAGCGACATTCACATTCTGCACCGCTCCCGGTCAGAGTTAAGACGCTGCCACGCTGGTGAGACGGTGCCGCTGGAGACTCGTCCAGGAGTGCAACTCAAACGTGTCCCACTGCCGGGGCACGGCAAGGTCACAGAACAAGGCGAACGCTCACGTTCGGTGGGGCTACCCGCTTCCCGAGAGCAGAAACCATCACCATCACATGCACGCCTTATCTAGCTGTCTGCGTTCCCAGCTCGAGCTCTTCAGTTCGTGGCTGGGAGTGGAAATGACTAAGAGGTACGTGACGCTTCCTCTCCTCTGCTATTCCGTCCCTGCCAACGTACTCCCGTGTTTCATTAACTAGTCATTGGATAAAGTGACTGGAGAGAAAAAGCTCACGGGTCCGTCTCTGGTGTAACTCTGCAGAGTGCAACAGAACCGCACCAACGGGGACGCTGCCCCACCGTGCTGAGTGTGCAAGCTTTACACAAACAGGGCAGACAAGGGAGCGAGAATCCGCAAAGGAGAAATTCAATCCACCCTTACGCAATCTCACCCACGATAAGAGAGATCATTAAGTGTGCTTGAAAGGCAAGAGAATCAAATTTTGCCTCGGAAATCTGGATTCCGTGATGGAATCCAGGTTTGGTTAGTTCGTTTTCACTTCACCATTCAAAGGAAGCAGAAACTAGGACAAACAACAGCTACAGTATTTATCTCTTTGGTAACTTCTGTGAAAGTCTCTAAGCAATGGGTACATCTTACAGTAATCATCATAGAAGCCCGATAAGATCCTGTAGAAGTTTCACAGATTGAAATCCCTGGGGCACGAACAGGGAAAATAGCTTGCCCAAGCTTAAACGGGGCCTGTGGGAGGGCGAGAAAGACTGCGCAGGAACTGGATCCCTCAGATTCCTGCTCTAGCCACGCAACAGCGCCTCAGTGAAAGCGGATCCCAGATGCAAAAGCTGAATCAGTAACCTCTTCCTACAGACAGAAGGTCTGGAGTGCATTTTAGGGTATTTAAGGCAAAAACGGGTACATACTAGCTGAGGAGACAGGCAGGCTTGGCAAATAGTCCGAAGGTGGACCAAGTAGCCGTAGTACACTTTCACAGTCACGTGGCTCCGTGGGCCAGTTTAAAGAGGATTTGGATCCCATCACTTCTGGTCACACACTGCTTTTAAATCTGGCTCAGGTAAGCTGCAGCCTTTCTTATGAGAGAACACTACCTGGTGTGTAAAATGCCTTTGCTTTTGTTTAGTTCCTTATAAATAAAGTTTCACATTCAAAGTTATTTTCCATAAGCAGCTCTCCCCTCATACTGCAAAAAGGCTCAGCCGGTATAGCAGGGGCTGAAGAGGCAGCAGAGAACCCAACCGCTCCTTCCCGCGGAAGACACGGTTTCCTCAGAACAGGCTGCAGACCGTCCTGAGGCAGAAGGGCAACACTTGCACTGCCACATTTCATATTTTACCTGTTCCTTGTCTTGAGTAACTGCATAACCTGGTGACCCAGTCAGCACGTACACCCACAAAACAACGAACAGGAAACGCTATATATCTCTAAAATTTCCAACAACATGATAAAACACGAGCGCTGAACAAGTGGCTTGTCCAAAGTGATCTAATGCTGCCATGAAGCACTGTTTCAGGGTTGAAATGTCAAGTACCTGCCTGAAAACCTAACTACGCAGAGGCAGAAAACCGCACTTCAAACAGTATCCACTACCGAGTCACCCACCTACAGCTGTCGCTAAAGCAGCTTGTGTGGAGCATATTAGAAACGTGCATCTTCCTTAAATTTCTGGAATGACAACCAACTAGCTGCACATATTCTCCCCAGATGAAAGACTGTCGATAGCTGCTAATTGGAGGCTGCGGTAATCTTGAAGTCCACCACAAAAGGATTATGCAACTGACGCCTGAAAAGGAATGGGAGAAGAATAAGCTTTCTTCCAAACCAGCGATGGCATCCACCTTAAGTAGAGAGTTTTTGGAAGCGGATCTCAAATAACTGTCAGGCCACGGATCCAATTCCGGAAAGTAAAAAGGCAGGAATTAACAAATCAGTGAGAAACAACCTGAAAACAACTATTCCTGCCTTGGTTTCGCGTAGTGCGGAACATAGGCTCGTTTATATAACTCTTCTGTCATTATCCTGCTTGCTGCTCCGTAAAGGGTTAAATTCTGATCTTACTCGGTGACTGCATCCTTTCAGCTGAGATAAATGGACTCCCAGGCAAAAGGACCACTGGGAAATACATATGCCATGCTGTGACAACAACATGCCTCCAACTAAGAGGACAGCTTGAGGTCAGCTTTCACTTCCTCAGCCTTCTGCTTCTCTTGCTTTCTTGTCACTGCTGCTAAAATTGGTTCAAGGGCACTTCAGACTTTTAGTAGAAAAGATTTTTCTCCTTGTGTCAAAACCCAAAAGGTTTAATATTTACTATGACCACACAAAAGTAGAATCTGAACGTGAACTGGAAGTTAGTGTTACCCGAGTACCATTATTGGAGAGCTGAGAAAATAAAACAGTCCAGGTTTCCTGCTTAAGGGCACATCTCCATTTTGCCAGCAGCTGCAACAAAGAGCAAATAGTTTATCATGCCTGAAAGCTGCACGAATACCCATCAGGGAAGAGAGATTACTCTCCTCTAACATATACTTTTTGGTTGGAGAAAGAGAGATTTGAGAGCAGTTTTCCGGCTCCGCCAAGAACCACTACTCCCTGTTTTAACTTTAGGAACAAGGAGGCAAACTGAAGTTTTACCTGGAGAACAAATATTAACAAGTTAAAGTCTGACCTAACAACTGAATTCTCTTTAAAACCTCATCCCTACTCAACTGTAGTATGACAGAGATTTCATTAATTCGGGATTGTTTTCCTGAAGTGACATGAGAAAAAGCTGCCCCTAAATATCATTTCAAGTGATCATCTTCATCCCCACCTGAGGGGTCTGGGGACAAGGGAGGACACCGAAAGGAGCCTGATAATAATACTCAGCCCTTTGGGCTTTTCCTCTTCCAAGAGCTTTGCAAAGAAAAAGCCTCACCACATCCCTGTGAGGTAGGTCAATAAGTATTATTATATTCCCTTAATACAGATATGGAAACTGAGGCAGAGAAGTTACTTTCCTGATGGCCACTGCAGGAGTCTGTCTCAGAGATGGAACCGGGAGACAAGATTCCTTAGCTCTCAAAGAATTTCCCTTTCTCTCCCGTATCTCTCCTCTTCCCCATACAAGTCTTAATGGAGAAATGAGCAACGGAGAAAGGGGCTACAGTGCCACATTTCTGACAAATAGCAGGACTCCTAGTACTACTCCACATATGCCAAAGAGGATTATTAAATATACAAGTACCTTAGAATTAATGGCAAAATGACTGCACACATTATAAAGAAGCCAACATACCATACAAACCTAGCTTAATAAATAAGTAAAGACATGCAGCTGCAGTTGCGACTGAGTGCTGAGGGGTCCTCAGCTCAGTAAGGTCCCAGATGCCAGTGGGTAAGCCCACGTCATTCCTGTGACTCTACTGCCACGCCGACGAGTGCGTGTCGGATAGTGCGACCATGGAGTTTATAGCCATCCTGAGTCACCAGTGCTATCGTGCCCGGCTGCATTCCCTCGGCTGGTACATGGCAGACTATTTCATGGTCATATGGATCATACTTGCCGCCAACAGGGTTCATCTTCTGAAGGCCATGTTTGGCAAATACGCTTTGCAATTTGGCCTCTATGAGAGAGAGGCCTTCATAGATTTTCTTCAGGGTTGGATTTGGATTACTAGGCTCCGCTTCTTCTGCGGCACTCTCGGCAGTCTTCTCCAAGATATCCGCTACCTCCACAAGGTCCCTGCAGAAACTCTGGATCCCTACAGGCACAAAGAAGCAAGAAATAAACGAAGGGCAGTTTACAGAACATACAGAGCCACAGCACCAAGGACAGGCACAAAGTCAGTGCAGTTTGAAAGCACCTTTAAAGCTGCTAATTGATTTGAACCGTTACTTTAGTGAGAGCAGACAGTGTCTTCTGTATCCCACAGCCAAAGCTTTATCCTTACAGGGGTAGTACTCTAAAGACTCCCCAAATCAAGGTATATGCAGGAAAGGTACATCTATACACATCAACACACACACATATACATAGATATACAGTATACCTGACAAAGCAGAGCATTAGTATTTCACTCCAAAAAGTTCTTGCAACTAAGACGTGTCATTTAGGACACTGTTCCACACCCTCTCATACAATCCCACAGACAAAAATGTTTTGAACAAATGCAATGGGGGGGAAGTAAAAATAATACATGACCATTCAAAAGTACATCCACAATTTTATTCATAAGTTAAAACCATTGTGGAGGGACTAGACAAAACGGTCCTTGGGTTGGTCATGGAAAGTCATGCAGTCTTTTTCATTAGAAAAATGGGTTTAGATCAGATACATTTCCAGAAGTGGTGTATTACACAGTGCAGAAATTTCAGGAAAACCAGCCTCCCTCAATTATATAGATGCCATAACTAACTTACTGGAAAGACGCATTAGGAAAACAGAGAAAGAGAAACAATAGTTTGATGCTATCTATACCTGTACGTACATGTTTAAACATGCACAGAACGAAGCAGCATGAAGGAGAAGCAACAAAGGAGCAGACAGAAGCAGACCAACCATTTCACAGAATCACAGAATCATTTGGGTTGGCAAAGACCTTCAAGATCATCCAGTCCAACCGCTAACCCAGCACTGCCAAGCCCACCACTAAACCATGTCCCTAAGCACCACATCTACACGTCTTCTAAATACCCCCAGGGATGGGGACTCAACCCCTTCCCTGGGCAGCCTGGGCCAGTGCTTGATAACCCTTTCGGTGAAGAAATTTTTCCTAATATCCAATCTAAACCTGTCCTGGCGCAGCTTGAGGCCATTTCCTCTCATCCTATTGCTTGTTACCTGGGAAAAGAGACCGACACCCGCCTCGCTACAGCCTCCTTTCAGGTTTTCCTCCTGCACCAGAGTCTCTTTTCATGCTCTGCAGGCCCCCATGCTTCACTCCATGAGCAACTTCTAATAAAGAACCTCATTTTTCTTCAAATCTGAAGCGTACTACATATAAAATTCAAAGAGCTCAAAAAAACCCTCTCAAAACCAACGGTGCTGATTATCCCAGAACTCAACAGCCACTTTACAGCACAATGGGTAGAACGGTAAGCAAAATACAGCAGCTCGAATTTCAAAGCTACTGGAAATAACTAACAAAAAACCTTCCAAGATTCACACGTTGTGGAGAATAACAGTTTCTCATTCTCAGAGATGGTGCTGGCAGAGTGCAATTTCTTTGCCCTTCACCTGCCTCCATTGCCAAAGCTACAAATCCAGCCCACTTCATTGATGCTACAATATTTATTATAGAAGTTTTAAAGAACATCTGATATAGGAACTGACCACTTTTGTCCTAGGCAGGATCTACCTCCTAAAAGCTAGAGCAGAAGAGAAGAGGCTGTTACTACAGTAAAGGAAATCACAACCTGATGACACAGCTAAGAGCATAAAATACACCCTGCCAGAGCCAATTCTCAGCATATAGAAGAACTTGTAATTGCAGCCAAGTCAGTAGAACTACCTTCAATTGCACCAGGCCTATTTCATTAGAAAAAGATCACAAAACAGTCACTGAGATGAACCTCACAGGACACAGCTGGACATACAGGAAAAATAGCAAGTAAGCCCAGACACCAACAGTCCAGGCCAGACCTCATGCCAGACCTTACAGCGAACACAGGCAGGATGAGGGGAGAGAAAAGCTGTTGATCAGCATTTCGTGCTCAGGCAGGCCGGCCACTGCAGTAAACACGGCTCTGCCTCACTTTGCTTACCAAAGAGCTTGGCATCTTCCACAAACTTCTGCGTTCTCCTCCGGACATTCTCAGAATCTGCCAAAGCTTTCCGGTATCGCTCCTGTAACCACAATAGCAAGGGGAGACATCAAACAAGGAGGTAAACCCCATTTCCTGACAAGCTGGCAATCCCCTAGAAACGCTTTAACAAGAATCCACTTTGTGTCAGAAGGTTGTGCTGGGCTCCTGTGCTTTCATTACATGCAAACCCAAGTCCTTCTCCTACCAATTAATCAGCACAACTGCAACTCCCTCAAAAAACCCAAGTGAAGGCCAGAAGCATTCAGGGCACAGCTCAATTGGACACCGCGTTGTCAGGCTGCTGCTTTTTGCATGGCTCACTGCAGCTGTTGAGACACTCCTTTCTCTAGCAGGCAAGCTGGCGGTCTCAGCAACAGATCTGCATCAGCTGATTTGTTGCTTGATGCAGTAGTACTCTCAGGGCGACGATCTCCAGAATTGCCTGCCCAGTGCTGCGGTATTTAATCCTCTCCTTAGTCACATCTGTTCTTCAAAGTCCCTATAAGACGATCCCTACCATTTCCACCGCACCACTGCCACTAAAGAGGCCTTTCCTTCTCGGACAATCTGGATCCAGTGCGACACAACAGGTGATGCTAATCAGGACGAAGCTACTGCCATTCCCTCTGTACAACACTGTGAAAGAATTGACCACACCATCTCCAACACACGGTTTTGCCTGCTGGGATCACACTATCAGTGTCTTGCCCCTAGGTACTGCTGACAGATGGTGTTTCCGGGGAAGGCAGACTGTACTTGCACAGTGCACCCTCTCACACTTAGAGCACAGCTGCTTTGAAGGCTCCCCCAGCACAGCGGCGCTGTGTGCGTGTTATAGGGCTTACAGAAAAAGCTAGGGCTGAAAGACAGACCAAGTCAAGGGGACTGAACAAGAGACGTCGTGATGCCACCAGCAGCATACTCACAGTTAAATCCCGGACTTGTTCCTCCAATTTGATGGCTTTGCGCTCTAAGGCACAGTCAGAAAGGGGATGCTTGGGCTCATCACGGGGATCTTCCGGGCCACACTCATCTCCTGTGCTTCTCTGCTGAGCTGCAGTGCTGAAAGCACATGGGGACCCCCTGAAATACAAACTAGTGGCAAAGAAGGAAAGTTAAGTAACAACAGGGTCAAAAAGAAGAATTCTCATTTAGTGTCATTACTAAAAGCAGGCTCACTTAAAAAAGGTACATAGAATTCTAGATAAAATTTTAGCTCTTTTCAGAAAATATGGACAACTAGCACACAAACACAAAAATTCTTTTATTTTTTTCTTTTATTTTAGACTCACATGTCACTACAGAGGCTGCACACCACTTCTTTGACATACCTTGAAAAGAGTCACATTTTCACAGGAGAACAAGTTGTGGGGTACGTTTTTGCTGACCTCCCAGTACAGGTGGTCAATGCTAGATGACAAACTTCAGAAACATTTTTGCAAGGTAGTCTTGAAAAGGAGGCTGGTGGTATAAAGCTGTTTTTACAGTTATTTAAAAAACCTCAAATGTTCTGAGCAAAATTCAGTAAGATCTGCAAACTCATGGCACTTAATGAGACAGGCAGGCAGAGCCTAGCCTGCTACCTAAGATGGTACACCGACCGCAAAAGGGCAAGCCACACCAGCAGAACGGTTGTGAATTTCTGCAGAGCAATTCAACAAGCAAGGAAAGACGTGCACATCTGGAACTGCTGGCTAATGGAGGTTCCAATTCTCAGATGCTCTGACCTATTTGTTCTCCTGGGTGCAAACAGACATAGCGTTTGGTACATTCAGTTTTCCTCCTATTGAATGAAGAGGAGGAGAGTTTAAACCTTTTGCCAATCAGTAGCAGTTGCTAGAGGGTACCCAGCTTTCACGTCCACTGCACAAAGAACAGTTACGAAACCAAAGAGAACTGCCAGAGACATGAGCAAGTTGTGTGCAGCCCAGATATTCCGAGGCCTTCCGCCAGGACCTTCACAGCACCATTAGCTGTGTTTGGAAACGGACTGAGCGTGCCAACTGAAAACTGCCCCTAATATTCTCCAGCAGTTCTAAGCACTTCAACTGTTTTTATCTCTACTGGCAATGAAAGAGTCCCAAAGGCAAAAAAAAAAAAACAACAAAACAAGCCCAAGCCTGAAGTGCTGAAGCCTACCTTATTTCCAACGACTTTCATCCTAAACACGCTTTTCAACTAAAAAGCACGCTTGTCAGTGGTTCGCATTGGTACAGCAGGTGGAGCTCATCCAGGAGGCTGACTCCACAACTTGCAGACGAAAATGATGAAACAACCAAAGAGTCAGATAATTGGGCTGAGCTGTATCAACACTGCCTAGGTGCTTAGCAGCCTATTCTATACTGTAACAATCTCACAGGTTTCCCCAAAACTAGATAACAGAAGTCTGGCTGAAAAGAGCTTGGTCAGAAGATGATCAAAACCAGCATGCTTAGACACTTTGAAAAATAAAGAAAATATTTCTCACTTTGTTCTGTTCTTTTCCTTTTTTCACCAGCAGCAACAATGCCGTCACTCCTCCTCCACCACCATCTGCTTTTACAAACTGACCTAGACAGGACCGTTCCTGCCAGCGTGAGGCCGAAGTCTCAGCCCACCTCCCTCTCACGCCTTGTGCCAGGAACAGAGTCTGCAGAAGAAAGTTCAATTTACTCCCAAACCAGCTCCATTTAGGAAGCATTTTTGTATACGCTTAACAAGGAAGGGTGCCTCCTTTTTTGGGAACACCTGGGCTCTTCCTCCGAGCACGGCTTTCAACGTCCCCTTTAATAGAGGGGGCTTGCTTATACTAAGGGCACATCTACCGAGTGAAACGCAGCATGGCACAGTGGCACCGACTCAAACTTCTGTGTTTATACAGCACAATTCGACACTGCACAGAGACGCTAATTTAGGCCCCAGAATCGATAAAGCTGAGTTCATGTTACCAGGCCGGCACCATTAAGCTTTCTTACTTTTCAGCAAGGCTACATTGCTCGGGTACAGTGTCACAGAAGTGCACAGCCTTCGTTTCTGGGTCTATCAGATCAGTCATGCAATGCAAGTGTTGTTCAGCAGTCCAGCTAAGCTGAGCTTACAGCGGCAACTGGAAGGGACAGGTTTGCTCCCCCTACTCCAGTACTGGAGCTGTGCAGAACGAAGGTTCAGGGAGTTCACCCAGCTGAAAGCTAACCCGACAAAACAAAAAGACTTTTCTGTCTGTGTCCCTGAATAGGTTTGCTGACAGATCAGATGAGTGCAAGTGCCAGTACAAAAGAGAAGGCAAACACGTGAAGCCTGGTGAGATGTGGGAGGGAGAATGTGGGGAAGGGAAGAGGTGTCCCCCTTTGGGTGGCAGCCAGGGCTTAGACCGGCTCAGCTCCATGACCAAAGCACAGTTTAAGAGATTTGTACTGCCCAAAGACCACCAAGCAACTCCTACCACTCCTGCTGAGCAGCCCAGATGTTCCCTCATTTTATCTTTAATACAAGGTTGCTACATGTCCCACAACACTAATGACAAGTTTCCTTTTCCCACCTGAAGGCATTTGCATATAAAATTTTTTATGAAGTGGGTACTTAAAACATCATCTGTATGTCAGTCTGCTCCTTTTCAACACGTTACATGCCAAATACAAGTCGGAAAGTGCTTTTGCTACGTACGCTTGCTCTGGAGTAGGACGTTCCTCGCAGTAATCTTTAAAGAACCAGCCAAGGGCATGTCACCAGGCTTTTTTCAAAAAGCTGCCCGGGCGCTGCAGCTGGGTTCCAGGAATGGCAACACAGAAGAAACCCCCACATTTTAACCCTGGCTGCAGAAAGATCTGTTTGGTGCACGAGAGAGACCCCATCCTGAATGATTTTTAAGATGCTTGTCCCATTCGTGTTGTCGACTGATTAACACAGCACTTTTTCAAAGTTATAGAAAGTAGACTAAACTGGAGGTGGGGACAGAGGAGGACCCCCTTCAACAAGCCTTCAAAATCAATCCATGAAGCTTTTAACAACTGTAAAGCTTTCTTTGTAAATAAAAGGTGCGTCCGTGGCAAGAACCAACTACAAGCTTTGTCCTTTATCATCTCCCATTTCGTTTAAAGAGCTGCAGGGATGGAAATCAGCCACGCCACAGATGAACCAAAGAACCTGAAAGGCAGCTGAGAAAGCAGCCTTGCTAGGCACCTCACCGGTTAGACTCCTGCGTCTCAAGAAAGCCATACAAATGAGTTAACTCTTCTGCATCCAAGAAGCAAAAGCTAGTGAGTCATTTCCCCGTGCAAGTGATTTACATGACACGAATGGGCGTGTTTCGGTGTGTAGGAGGAGAGGGGCATGAACGAGCCGGTCCCTCAGCGGCGGGGACCTGCCTACGTGAAGCAGGGAGCTGCCTGCATGGGCTCCTTTCCCCAGCTTGAGAAACCAAGTCAGCAACCACTCCCCGTGCAGCGAAGCGCCCCAGGTATCACGTGCTGTTCAGACAAGCTCGCCTTAAAAGTTGCAGGCAAGAAGTAAGAACCACAGACTGCCTCCAAAGGGAATTCTTAACAAGAACTCCTATGCAGAATTGAAAATGCCGCTCAATTTACTTCTCCCTCCAGGATGAAAGAAATACTCCACTAAAAAGGGCACGTGCTATTTACAGTCTGTCCACTGCACTGTGCTCCCTCTTCTAAACACAGTCCTGATCACAGCTGCCCTAAAACCAGGCAGAAATCCCACTGGAGGAAGCTGACACATCCCGAAGTGACAGCCACGTGGAAGGCCCAGAGCGTGCAAAGGGATTACACAACTACGCTGGTGATACCAAAAGATTTACAAACTGATGTCACAGAAAGCCAAACAGATAGATGAAGCAGAGAAGTTGATTGTATCCGTATGGCCTAAGCCAGTTGTCCTCTAAGATTAGACTTTAAATGACGGGAACAGGTCTCTGTGGTCAGAACAATAGCATCCCCTTTTTCTGGAGCACAGGCACCAAACCGACCATCCCAAAGAGGGGTTCCCTCTGAACACAGGGGTCCTTACCCCAGCTCTCCTTAAACACTCCCTCCTCCTCCTCCTCCCAAATCAGCATGAGAAAGCACACAACTGCTGAGACACACAGAAACATCTGCATTAGCGTTTTAGCTCTGATGAGCGTGCTTTGGAAGGAAATTTAATTACGCCCAATTACCGCGCTCTGTTTCATCAAGGAGTGATACCAGAGATGAATACCACGTGGATTCCTCTTCGACGAAACTGCAGGACAAGCTTGTGTGGTGCAGCTTAACGCAGGATGGCTGTAAACCAGGCAGTAGGCTCCCCGACTGCCCCGTCCAGGGTAAGGAGCCCCCGGGACGCGTACGGCGCGGGTGCTTGGGCCCCGCCGCCCACCGCTCTGCTGCGGAGCCGCTCCTCTGGGCTGCGACGCGGGCACGGCCAGGCAGAACACGCGTACAAAGCGGGGCTCCAGGCCGCGGGCAGCTTCTGGCGATCCTCCGCCAGGGAAGCCTGCCCGGCTCCCATCCACGTCACCTGTTTCAAACCCGGCGCACATTTCGAGAGGGGCAAAGAGTTTTCACACATATGAGAGCATATGGAAGAGGAAGGACTCTTGGACACGCATCTTTACATTTAGTTCCAAACACAGCTGCTTCTATTATGTGCTGCAGAATTATTTTATTGCATTTAAGTGGTCTTTTCAGTTTTTTTTTTTCCCCAGAGGAAAAAAAACTAGAGTAAGTTAGCAGGCAGTTAGACCACAGTAGTTAGTTGGCCACAAACACAGATGCTTCTATTATGTGCTGCAGAATTATTTTATTGCATTTAAATAGTCTTTCGGTTTGGGTTTTTTTTTTTTTTTGTTTTAGAGAAAAAACTCTAGGATAAACTAACATGCATTTTGCTTTTTCTCTTTTCACCTGCCCGCATTTCACTCAAATACCCAACGCACCTGTTATGGATTTCACTTTTACAAGCCATATTCCACAGTACCCAAAAATATGACTGGACACTGTTTTTCTGTCTAAATACTGACACAGTTAAACGGGCTCTCTTCCCTCAGACACCCAAAACACACTGAAAGTACAGGTGCTGCGTCACTTCCAAAAATAAAACCTGAGGAGCACATTAAATGTGTAGTTCATGAATAAACGGTTCAGACGGGGCAAGACGAGACGCAGAAATCACCCGCGGACACGCGTAACGGCGGGAAACAACGTCACGACGTGACTCGCTGGCCACAGAACGGCTAAAAATGACATTTTTTTCCTCAAAACCTCACTCGGCCGGGAAAGACCTTGCTTATTGATAGGCTAGTTGTGCTCCAGGCCTCCTGAGGAGCTAAGGGCCGGCAGGGTGCACCTCATGACGGGCAGAGCGGAGACCTCCGGGGGGGGACGGCGGCCTACACCCCCCTGAGGGCGCCCCGGGCCCGGGCCCGCC